TTGGCAAAAATGGCCAACCATCAACAATGGCCTGGTTCACAAGAATTCTATTTTTAGGGGGTTATCGTAGGTATGTCCCGAATACGCATTATAGAGGTAAAAACAGGTATGACTATCCTGAAAAGTCGAATCAGTAGTAGAAAATATAATAATTTGGACATCTTGATCTAAGCCGTTTGGTGAAAAATTTGGATGATGAAAAATCAGTATGCGGCATTGAATAGTTCATGATAGGGGGTATAAATCGGCACAAATGCACTTTAACTGAATAATACAAATCGATATGATTTTACGATTAAAGCGTTTCACCAGAATGCTTTTCTTCCCTTCTTTAAAAAATCAAGTTTACATATGCTCCAAGCACTCGAGTAGGACAGCTACTGGCCACAGGTGGTCCCCCAGGGCATAAGGGGGAGTCTGGATACGGGCTCCTGGGACGGCGGCACTAACTCTCCCTGAGAAACCACCCGGACAGACGAACATATACGGTCAAAAGGAAAGATTTACGGAGAATCAATATCCGCGGAAGGGCCCCCCCGGGGGAAATGTTAAGTGAAGAGTGCTGCCCTGATGTAGGCTCCACATGGTCCTGTTTACACCCCCTCGCACCCCGACGAAATAAAGATGGCCACCGCCTTACAACCCCACCCCCGCGTTCGTTTTATTGCGCGTTTGCCGCCCCCTCTTTATTAATTTATTTCATTGAGCCCGAAAGGGAAACGGTGCAGGAAACAAACAAGTAGTTGATCGTTTGTTTATAACCGATAAGCAATCTATAAGGCCGGGGCCAACTGCAACTTTCAAATCGGGTTTTGATTTAGCTATCTTTAAATGTTAATACAAATTTATTTATTCATAAGTAATCACACTGCGCATATTGATGATACAGTTACTAAACTGAAAAGTTTCGACATATAAAGAAATTATCAAACTATGAAAGATTTATCATCATATTCTACCAACATCACCAAACCAAAAAAGCTACTTTCCATAGTCTTGTATTTTTTCACAACGTTTCACTGAAAAAGATACAGATTTAAACTTTCGTCCAAAACAGTAACTATGGCCCAAAAGGTAACAATAAAACTTAGCGATTATAATGATTTTTAATCAAAGAGTTTTGCTGGTGATTTTTGATTACGAAGCTTCTAAGAAGGAATGGGTTTGACAACAGTTCGTCATCGTGGATCCTGCTGCACTGGCAACCTGAACGTTACGCAGATGGAGCCGTGATTCATAACAACCTAAGTGGAGAAACAAATTAAGGACGGGCAACTCGACAAAGGATTTCTGAGCAAAATTTACAACCAAACATTTAACATTAACTCTGACAGAAGTAGTAGCATAAATATTGTAACCAGATGGTCACGAATGAAAAGAATAATGGATAAAACCGGAATGTCATTTTTAAAATTATTTGGTCAAAGGACTATCACCTAAAATTCACTATAAAACGATTCAGTTTTTCGTTTGGACCAAATTAACAAAAAAAAAATACGAGCAATTTTCAAAATGGCCTTTAAAAAGTCTTTCTAACACGTATAAATCTTTTATTAAAAGCAACAAGTCAAGAATTATTGCGTAAACAATGGAAAATGTTAATGCCAAAGGGAAATTCTATCGTCTGGACATTCCCTGGCCTTATCGTAGTAGTTCGAACTTCGAAAGCAACTTCGTCTATTTAATCTTCTCATAAACTCGTATCTACAAAAACCGCTTACCCAGTATAAATTAGATTTGTATTATCATCAAACAAATCCGTGCCCCTTTTACTACAAATAGCAACAGGTAACGCCAAAATCCGATTGAATTTTAAACTTCGAAGAGACGATAGTTCACGACTTCAAAGTTATGCATCAAAATAATGGTTATTTGGAGATCGTGACTAAATACTACACACGTCAAAATAAAATTTAAAATTATTACACCTCAAATATTATTACCTTCAAAAGATTTTGAATTCATCATAATTAAAAATCTAAAAATTAAAACTGTTTTTAATATTAATATTATATCATTACAATGTAACAGATAAAATTGTTATTTTTTACGATTTTCCATGTCTTAAAAATTCCAGATTGTTATAAATTTCATATTAACATTTTTTTATATAAAGTATGGAGAAAGGTTATGATTTCCTATGAACTAGGATGTTTCTGCAATTTTTTTTTCAGAGAGAAATTTTAAGTTTTCTCCAAACAAAGAGCCAAATGACATTATGGTGACGATACTGAAAAGAACCATAAAGATTTATTTTTCATTTATGACGGTGGTAAAAGGGTTAGGTGAAAGTCATTGGACCAAATCTTTCTTCTAACAATAACCATCGATTTGTTTTTCTATATTCATTTTATAGTATGAACACTTGTAAGACAAGAAGTACTGACAAGTTTTGAAGTGTTATGCTGAACGGGATGAACAGTTCCTTCATATTCTCTCTGGGCGGGAAATTTTAAATTTCTAATGTAAAAAATTTGAAGTTGAAATTTTGAAATATTTCCACCATCCTGCGTTGTTTCAGTTGCATAAATTTATTTATGACTAATGGAGAAGGGATATTTAATAAATCATTTTCGCACTATTGCCATCCTATAAAACTTTTAAGATAAAAACTGAAAACAGGCATGAATTGGATGCTGAATGGATTCTACCCTGTTCCTTTCTGCTTTCTCTAGGCGGGAAATTTTACATTTTATAAAAACAATATTAACTTGAAGTTTTTCCACAATAACGATCCACAACTACGCGAAAAAATGGCATAAGTTTATTAATTTATTTTAATTGCTTATGTTTATTTATGTAAATTATTCCTATGGGAAAGGGGTTGTTTCTAAATTCTTTGTATAGAATCATAAGATTAACTGTTGAGGTCAAAATATAAGAAAATATAGAATCAGTATTCACTCTCTTCAGGCAAGAAATAAAACAGCATATTTATGATTTTTTTCCTCGTGGGAAATTTTGAAATTTAAAAACAAAAGAATTAATCAGTTGAAAATTTTTTCTCGGTGTGACGATTTTTTTCACAAATTGCAATAAAACGTTTATTAATATTAAAATGTGCAAAGGGTTTGTTTAAAATTTGGTGTTGCATGATGCCCATCCAATATTAAATTACTTTTAAGACAAAAAGTCAGAAAAGATGAATTGGAATGAAGAATGCTGAATGGATTCTATGCTGCGTCTTTATGCTCTTGGCGGGAAATTTGAACTTTTACAAAAAACACTTAAGTGGAAGGTTTATCCACAATAACGATGCGTAACTACGCGAAAAAGCTGTATGAGGTAATTAATTTAACTATTTTTGTTAATTAATGTAAATTATGACCATGGGAAGGGATTGTTTAAAAATTATTTGGATGGAATCAGAATTCACTTTGTTCAGACAACTACCTTTTTTTCTAGGTAGGAAATTTTGAAATATAAAAGGAAAAGAATTATCAGTTGAAAACTTTTCTCAATGTGACGATTTATTTACAAAATGCAATAAAATGTTGATTAATATTAAAATGTACAAAGGGGTTGTTTAAAATTCGGTGTTGCATGATTTCCACCCAACATTAAATTAGACTTTTAAGGTAAAAAGAGAGAAAAGATTAGTTGAAACGAAGAATGCTGAATGGATCCTATGCTGCTTCTTTATGCTTTCTCTTGGCGGGAAATTTTAAATTTTCAAAAGCACTTAAGTCGAAGGTTTCCACAATAACGATGCATAACTACGCGAAAAAGTTGTATTAGGTAATTAATTTATTTTAAGTGCTTATTTTTATTTATGTAAATTATTACTATGGGAAAGGGTTTAAATATTCTTTGGATAAAATAGAATCACTCCCCTCAGACAAGAAATAATTCAACATATTTATGTTTTTCTAGGTGGGAAATATTGAAATTTAAAAAGAAAAGAATTATTCAGTTGAAAACTTCGCTAGATGTGACGATTTTTTTTACAAATTGCAATAAAACATTGATTCATATTGAAATGTGCAAAAAGGGGTTGTTTAAAATTTTGTAAGACAAAAGTGAGAAAGATGAATCGGAATGAAGAATGCTGAATGGATCCTATGCTGCTTCTTTATGCTTTCTATTGGCGGGAAATTTTAAATTTTCCAAAAACACTATTGAGTCGAAGGTTTTCCACAAACGATGCAGAACTACGCGAAAAATTTGTCTAAGGTGATTAATTCATTTTAAGTATTTTTGTTTATTAATGTAAATTATGACCATGGGAAGGGGTTGTTAAAAAATTATTCGTATAGAATCAGTATTCACTCCGTTCAGACAAGAAATATACAGCATATTTTTTTCAAAAGAATTAATCAGGTGAAAAGTTTTCTCGTTGTGTCGATTTATTTACAAATTGCGATAAAATGTTTATTAATATTAAAATATGCAAAGTGTTCTCAAATTCAATACAATCACTATTTGAAGAAGTGTGAAAAGATTGGAAAGTAGATTGGCTTTTTAATAGCATCATTGTTTTTTGTTTTTTTGGGAGGAAAATTTTTAAATTTTTCAGTGAGCTTAGGTTAAGTTGAATCTGTACAGACATGATTAATATCAAAAAGGTGCGTGGGAATTTAATTTAATTTTCGACTATGGTAAAGGGTTTGTTTAAAAGTTTGATAATTGAATAAAATCGGGTCAAAGGGTACGTTTATGAGAGAAAAAGGCAGTGGAGAGGTCGTTTTTCTCTTGGGACGATTCAAAAATTGCGAGTGGGCAAAAGCCGGTTCTGGGGCTACACGTGTTTGGCTGTCACAACAATGATCTCATTGGGGCAACGTCATCATCTCCAAAAGCCTTTGTCGGCTTTACCGAAAGGGTTCTGACAAAAGGAACCCGGTGGATTGTACGACGACTAGGACAAAAGGTGTAAAAGTTATAATTGCCGGGTAATAACAATGGTTTGTCCCATTTGTCCAGTGGGACAGGGGGTAGCTGTCATGGTTTTCGGCAGACCCCCGGGCTCGGAATCAAATAGTAATTGCACTCGGACTCACCGTTCTTTCTCTGGGGTTTCGCCTGCTTCCTCCTGCCGCTTCCCGAAGATAGATCAGTCGTAGCCATCTGTCGATATTTGTAAATCCTTCACGTTCACCCATCAAGTCAATACATTTGACAATAAAATCACTATTGTATCCACTATAGAATATTCCCGGGTTCGGCTTGTTTACAAACACAGAACAAAAAAATAAGCAAGTATCCGAGTTACAAAAATATCCTTTTTTAGAAAAGACACCATGGACGTGTGCACTTAGCAAAATGACATCCCAGAAAATGGGACTTTAGGCCTCTGACAGTCCGAATCGCAGCACTGTTTTGACTTTTATTGGTCGTTGGGTACTCAATTTTTCAACTTTGATCAGCCTGTCGCACAAAAATCGGGGTAAAAACAACGGGATCCTTCGGGAATCGGCGATCGGGGCTCGGGGTGCGAGACTAGAAAAGGCGTTTACTATTTGAAAATGGAAGGGGATGGTGGGGGGAGTGCTTATGAAATGGATAAAAGGATGGGGGAGGGGAGAGTGAGAGAGAACAAGAAATAGAAAAAAGAGTGAAAGAGTGACAAGGCGTGTGTGAGTGTCGCAGGGGTAGGGCACAGACTGAGAACCCGTCCTCGGCACAGCGAGAGCGCAGCACCAAACTCACACTGCGCACCCTGTTTACTCACAGCAACACACCGTTGCCAAGCAACCCCGACTCACCCCCTGGCACGTCGCAACGCCGGCTTTACCACCCTCTTCCAACCCCCCTATCAACACTGATTTGCATTAATTTTTTATTTATATTTATGCTGATATAATGATAGTTTTCGATCGAGGAGATCAACAGTTGTTAAATTTTATGTATGCAATATCTGGGGCAAGTACTATTCGATTAAGATATTTCTTCTATCGTAAAATATGTAATGATCTCAACTTTTTAAACAGTAGCATAGGACATAGTATCAGTAGTAGTATTTTATTTGTTTTCGGGGAGCTCCTCAAACAAAGTTAAAATATTTCTAAATCAATTAATACATCATAACAAAATTATGTTAAATCAGTGAGTGCTACATCATTGAGCTGTTGAATGGTTCAGATCCCCGGCTCTCGCGCAGTATGCTTGCCACACCTCCACAACCATTTAGTCCAGGAATTGGTTCGTGAAGCATGATCTGGTCTCTTTATCTTCCCAATTTAATGTGCTTAATGCGGTTTGCCGTTCCATTCTCACGTACGAATGTCAAGCTTGGGGTTTTCAACCTTATGATCAGATGGAAAAATTTTTGAGGTTTTTCATCAATCAATTCAAATCAATAATTTTCTTTCAGGCAATTTGAATTTGACATGTCTTTTTTGCTGATTTAGAAGAAATTCAACTGAAAAGCTTGGAATGGTGAATTAAAAAAGGGTTCAATTACAATGAGAAGAAATGAGAATGGCCAGACCGAAAATTAATAAAATTAGAATATAATTGCACATAAAAAAGTACGAAAAAGGCAAATTTGAAAGAAAGAACGATATTCCGTTTAATATAAATATCTACTCACAAAACTAAAAACTATGGCTTTCTAAACTTATGAATTTCTGCTTTATCTCTAATAGAGTAGAGATCTACCATCAGTATTTAAATACATAAAAAAGAGAGAAGCACAGTGGGACCACTGAGGATGCGGAGAAGCCGAAACTCTTCTTACATAGACAAACAGCGATGATTAGCAAACCGAAATGATCGGAAACTACCAACATAAACCAAACCGATCTCAAGAGGAAATTTCACACTCGATCTCTGAGAAAGTTCCTTCAACTCTGAATCCATGGTTCTTCGTTTTCTTCTTCTCCACGTGTTAATGTTAATCGTTGAGATACTTCATCAAGCAGTTGTTTGCCTTGCCTTCTTGTACTCCAAATTACATGCTATGCACAGAAACCCGTGTTCATCCCTTATTTCTGCATACGTTAAAGCTCCATTTTAAATAAGTATACAAAACCCTAAAACTCTCTGGTCACCATTACACGAAATTTACAGCTCAGGAGATAATAAATAAAAATATTTTCTGGTATGAGCACTGTCAGAGAGTCCATCATCAGTCTATCCTTCTTCCCGATTCTCTCGAGACAACATTTATGAACGGATGGCAGAATTCCAGTGCATTCTTTCCAATGTAAGGTCTAGCAATAGCATGAAGTTTTTGGAGCGAACGTTGACAAAAGGGAGGTTTCTTTTGTACAAGAAGCTTGACGAATGAGAAACATGGAAGAACTAAAAAACTAAAACTGAGGGATCTCCGCTGGCTCTTCAAACTGCGAGGAGAACTTCTCTTCCTTAACTCTTCCCCCTTGATAGGCTGCCAGAGGGATACAGAAATGTGCTCTCTGTGCAATATAGGGTAAAAGGAAACCATCGTGCGCTTTTTGGCTAAATGTACCATTTTGTCCAAGATGCGTGCTTCATATTTGGGTAATGCTGTGCTCTCGGAAGAAAGCCTAGTCAAACTTTTAAATGAGCCAGGCCTAAGGAAAATGAAATTCGCTCGACGCCTGGTTTTACCGCTGGGAACTGGTACTAGAGTCCAATTTTCAATCTTGTTCTATGTTCACCAGATTATTATTTTTTTTTTTCTAATTTTATTATAAAATACAGAGAATATTATTATATTTTATTGACTATTTTACTATCTTTTATCAATATTTTATCAGTAATCTCGACTCCAAGAAGACGGATATTCCATTGCTGTAAATAGTTACGTTTTTTAAAAGGGTATGTCTTTTTATTGATATTAATTGTCAAATAAAGTATTATTAATGTTACGTTAGTCCAGGAATTTAATTTTTAATTTCGTATACACATTTAATTCATTAAACACCACAATCAAAAAAAATATAGTTAATGACCTGGATGAAAAACTCATTACTTTTCTGTGTATCTATTTCTATTCATTTTATGTTCTATAATAAATGTATGAATGTTGATGATGGATCCCCTGAGCTTATTGGTTTGAGAAAACGTAAAGAGCAAGGTAAGAATAAAACGAGAGATACACAAGGTAAAATATTTAATCATCATAATTATTCATAAAACACAATTTTAGGTTTAGTCATTTTTATATTAACGGAATACAGTAAATCATTATTCAGTTTATATTCACTATTTTTCGTGGTCCGCTTGACCAATTAATAACATTCAATTAATTAAGTTGAGATAAAAACGTTGAGATAAACAACTCTACAGCTCTCCGCGGCCACCTCATTTGTCGCCGAGAATCCAGTCCGATTATACGACATTTGAAAAATGGCAAAAAGGAGGGAAAATTCAAAAGGTGGGGTTGAGATGGAAGTTGGTGCCTCTAACCGACGGTTGTGGGTTCGAATCCCGCTCGTGCACTGGCTTTTTTATCTCAACTTAAAAACCTTAATTAATTGAATTCAGTTTATAGTTGAGTTCAACATACTGAACTATTGTTTATACAATTTTTACTACTTTAATTAATAAAGTAAAAGGCCAAGTTTTTTACATTTTGTTTATTACCTGGCCTTTTTAACTTCAAATTAATTTTTTTTATTTACTAGGTTTTTCCCCTTCGGAAGTAAAGGTAATTTTTGAACAATGGAACACCCAAGTCCTTGTCTGTTTTTTTCTCAAAATATTTTCCCCTACATAATTTGTGTCCTCTTCAGTGCATGTATTAAGACTATTTCTTGTAGATATTATAACCATGTACAGGTTCAACTTAACCCTTTTTAAATTCACATTAAACCTTTTTTAATTTTGAATTATCCGTTTTCAAATTTCAAATTAACCCTTTTATAATTTTAAATTAACTTTTTTTTAATGTCAAATTAACGATTTTTTAACTTTAAATTAATATTTTTTATTTCAAATGAATCCTTTCATTTTAAATTATCGTTTTTTAAATTTCAAATTACCCTTTTTATAATTATAAATTAACATTTTTAAACTTGAAATTAACCATTTTGTAAATTCCAATTAACCTTTTTTAACTTTAAATTTGAAAATGAACCCTTTTTAATTTTAAACTAACTTTTTTAAAATTTCAAATGATCTCTTTTTAATATTAAATTAATCTTTATTAACACATTAAAACACTTATAAGACGGTATGAAAATTAATTACAATTAAAATTAAAAGTTATATAAAATTAAATCGAAGATGGCAACAGGTAGTGGATATTGTTGATTAAAATTCTCAGAAAGTGAAATTCATTGAATTTATTATCAAAAAACACTACGGTCTTATTTTACGACCTATAATGAATTTAAAAAATAAGGAGTTAACTCTCCCGTCATCCAGCTTTGCCTGTTCTCGCTTGCTTAGTGGTGGGTTCAAAAAAACTGAAACAAAAACAAAATTACTGATTATGTAGCTTCCACAGACAGGTATATTAAAAATTGATTGCTGATTTATACATGCTTAAATCTCTACGTGCATTTATATATATACGCGAGTACAAAGTACACCTCGGCGTCCGGGGTCAGACCGGAAGTTGCGCTCCAGGGGCTATCAACAGCTAGGTCATGTCAACCCCCAGAGAAATCAGACTCCAAATCCAAATTCAGTCTCACTTTCACTCACCGGACCAGGATGATTTGAGACAATCGAGCTATCACAACAAACTACTAGTAATTACTGTTATAATTTGAATTACAATTAAAATTCCAATCAATTATTCTTGTAATTTAAGGTTTTTGTTAAGATGAAAAATTAGTATCACGAGCGGGATTCGAACCCAGGACCTTCCGCTCAATACGCCGCTTCTCTAACCACTTGAGCTATCGTGACTTCGATCCCCTCAGACACCAACATCCCACCTCAACGTACTTTTTTTCTAAATTAATTTTAATTTTTCATCCCAACCAAAAACCTAGGATGAAAAGAATAATTAATATGAACAATTATGACGGTTAAACAAATATGGATTGATTTGTAATTAAAATTTAATTTTTATTAACATTCATAGTTTAAATATTGACAACAATTTCGGTTATATACCATACAGATGGTATAATAGAATGATACAATTAACTATCTAAACTTAATATATTAAAAAAATTCCAAGCATTTTGGTATAAATCGTCTGCTTAATCCCTGGTTTTTCTGTTTTAATTATTATTATTCACGATTGCACTTATGTGGTTCATAGGGATTCTTCAGAATTATAATGGGGGCCAAAGTTACCAACTAATTTCAGTTCTGTTTGCTTTTTAATTCGTTTTTCGATATGGCAATCCGAATTTAATTTAAATACGTCATTCAATTAATTAAGATTTTTAGTTGAGATAAAAAAGTCAGTGTTACGAGCGGGATTCGAACCCACGATCTTCGGCATGCCGCTCCTCTACCACTTGAGCTATCGTGACCTCGATCCACTCGGACACTAACTTCCCATCTCAACTCAACATTTCGAATTTCGACAAATGAAGTATATCTTCACTAAAGCCATTTCATTTGTCGCCGAGAATCAATTAGATTACACGACATTTGAAAAATGGCAAAAAGGAGGGAAAATTCAAAAGGTGGGTTGAGATGGGCAGTTGTGTCCGAGTAGACCGAAGTCAGGATAGATCAAGTGGTTGGGCAACGGCGTTTGCCTAAGATCGTGGGTTCGAATCCCGCTCGTGACACTGACTTTTTTTCTCAACTAAAACAAACCTTAATTAATTAAAAGATATTAATTGGTCAAGCGGACCACGAAAACTAGGGAATTAAATGCACTTATGCAAAAATATTTTGTCGCCGGACATTTTTCTTAGTAAAAATTTCACAGCCGTGCGGGCATTTTTTGACTGTTTCCTAGAAAAAAATAACTCGTTTCCACCGGTAAAAGATCCTGTTTCCTCTCTTTTGATGTGCCGAGGTTCCTGTAGCATGGTGTTTACAGGAAAACGAACAATTCTTTTCTTCCAAATATGTTGCACGTAGGTACACTTTCTGACTAGGAAATTGTGCAAATGGTGAACCAGTAATTAGAAAATCCGTTTCAGTTTCTGAATCTTACAATTTCTTTACATTCAATCAATGTAGACTGTTTTAAAAATTTATTTCCATATTATGTTTAACATATTACATATTGATTTATTTAAGGTACGATGTTGGGTGTTATGCTACTAATTTTCCATAGAAAGGTTCCATAAAAAATGGTTTTGATGAGACGAATAAGTCGATTATTTTCACGGATCGGCCATTGGAAAAACCTGGTTAATCAAATATTCGGCCAAGTATGAAATCCAATTGGTAAGGACACTGGGCACACGTCGGTTAAATTAACATTTTAATTTTATTCTCTTTTTCAATTTTGTATTTAGTTACGAATTTTTAACCATGATTGACTCAATGGACATCTGGCGAGAGCATTTCTTAAAAGAAATCTAGACAATCTCTGTGAAAAATACAATAACCACTGTCGATCTTTGGATAGAAAGCGATAAATTCTAGAATAATTATTTTTTAGGCACATTAGCGATCTGGGTGAAGACCCTAACAACATTCGTATTAATTCCCTAATTTCGTGGTCCGCTTGACCAATTAATTAAGGTTTTTAGTTGAGATAAAAAAGTCAATGGCACGAGCGGGATTCGAACCCACGATCTTCGGCTAGATACACCGCTGCTCTATCGTGACTTAGAGCCACTCGGACACTAACTTCCCATTTCAACCCATTTGAAAAATGGCAAAAAAGGAGGGAAAATTCAAAAGGTGGGGTTGAGATGGGAAGTTAGTGCCCGAGTGGATCGAGGTCACGAGCTCAAGTGGTAGAGCAGCGGAGTATCTAGCCGAAGATCGTGGGTTCGAATCCCGCTCGTCACACTGATTTTTTTATCTTAATTAATGGTAGTTATTATGGTAATTCTATTAGTTTTTGGGGTTTTTCCAAACATTTCTTTTTTCTGTATTTGGAAGGAACAAAATTGTTTTTGTCATTCTTACTGTGTCCCCATCCTATCCACACCCACTGTTGAAGTTACGCAAATATTGATGTGTAGACATTAATTTTTGTAATTTATTTTCTTTCTTATTTTCTCAGGTTTTGGCAACTGTTAGGGCTAGTTCGCCTCTTTATTATATAAAACTTGAGTTAAAATAATGTACATTATTATTGAAATCATTGGTACATCATTGAAATTATACATCCTTGCATAACTGGCATTATGTATTATTTAAAATTATTCGTGGAAATGTTTATCTCTTTAATAAGTAAAACCTGAAATAAATAGTGATAAATATTGACTCTAAGCCAGTAAAATGATGATTTATCAACCTGAAACTTAGCTAAGCTTAAAAAAAAGGTTTATGATTCATAAAATTCTGCTTGATTTAAATTGACAAATTTAAGTAAGAACAAAAAATGCGTGTATTTGTCGGCTGGAGGCAAACAACGGAGACATAATCAATAAATGAAATAGTAAAAATTTAACGTACTTGTCAGGATTGTAAACTTCAACCTTAGTCAGCAATAAAATTGTGGGTTATTGGCTTGACAGTATTTTTATAGCGACATAAACGTAATATATATATATATATTTAAAATTAAGCCTTGTTTATTGTTTAAAATGATAGGTTATTTTTATCGAACGGGGGAGGCTGCAGCGTGGGGTTACCGATTTAATGAAAATTATTTTGATGATACTTGGTCAAAAAATGTTAGACATTTGTTTTAAATTAATAAGGTTTTTGGCATATTTTATTAAAGCGTTTTTTGGTTTTTGCAACTTTTCGTAAATCTAATCCCATTATATACTATCCTGTTTATTGTTATCTTATCCTAGGTATAAAATGTATCGGCTCCAACAATCCAATTGGCATACATGATTAGACACACCTAATATTTTTCGACCTGGTATCACAAAAAAAAAGTTTTATTAAATTCGGTCATCTCACGTCCTTAGCCTCCACGTTAGTAGTCTGAACTCATCATCTGGATCATAAACAAAAAATATGTATTTTGAGAATTTTAAAGATTGGATAAAATATCGTCTTTTAGTAGATCAAATTTTGATGTAAAGATTAATACAAACATAAAAATTAAAAAGATCAGTGTTGACATTCGGAAAGAGGCGTAAAAGTTCAAAGCGTGTCGAAACGAATCTATTTTGAAAAAAATAAAAGTGCTATTTGATAAATCTGATCCAATGTTGAAAAATTGAAATACGAAGAATTAGTATCGTTGTTGACAATATTGGAAATTTTTTATCAAACGACGAGGTTCGACAGGTTATCTTATGAATTTGTTTTTGTCCTCCCACTTTATATTTTATTGAAGGAAACAGTCTTGATATTAAAAAGTTAAAGAATAGACTGCGAAAAACAATTTTTCCCTAAAGTTTAAATATTATTTGGAACAGTTTGAGTTGAAAGTAAGTTGACATTCTTCTTTTCTACCCCAAAACACTCGTGAATACAAATTTTTCGTACAAAAATTTCCCTTGCCCTCCGAATTTTTTCGATTTTTTTTTAAACGATTCCATCAATACAAGGTATTTATTCAGAAATCGTGAGATGCGGTTTGGTGTGATGTAGGTTTCAGAAAAATATTTTGTTTATCGTGCCAACGTTTCGATCTTTATTGAGATCATCTTCAGGGCCTGGGATTCATAAACGTTGTTTAATTATACAAATACATGTAGGATGTGAAAAACGTGAATTTATACAATACTAGAAAATTTAGACTCAATCAAAGTTGAAACTTTGAAAGTATTTGTACTTCACTTTGAATATTTATAAATCCCAGGTTCTGAAGATGATCTCAATAAAGATCGAAACGTTGGCACGATAAAGAAAATGTTTTTCTGAAACCTACATCAGACAAGAAAAGGAGGGAAAATTCAAAAGGTGCGGTTTAGATGGGAAGTTAGTGTCCGAGTGGATCGAGGTCACGATAGCTCAAGTGGGAGAGCAGCGTCGTATTGAGCCGAAGATCGTGGGTTCGAATCCCGCTCGTGACACTGACTTTTTTATCTCAACCAAAGTGTTAATTAATTGAAAGGTTGTAATAACATTGAATTTTAGGAAAATCGAGATGTTATGAAGAACAACAATGGGCATTGACGTGAAAAAAATAATTTCCCTGGCGAATCCCATAAAAAAAAAGTCCAATTTTTGTTTCCTATAAAAAGTTGTATTAAAGGGCTTTAAAAGGTGCTTTAAAAGAAACCGAATTGGGTTTTTTATGAAAAAAAGTTTTAGACCAACTTTAAAAGTAGCGCTTTTTTGATTTTTGTAAATTTTTGTATATCAAATCTCATTTAATACGTTCATACATATTATTTTATTATTATTTTTAAGAGGGTTCGCAAAAGCAGAGGTCATATAAACCCCCAGGGTGCTGGTGTTTTTGGAAAGCCCATTTGTAAGTATGTCGGGTTCAAATGCAGGGCCGCTGGATTCGAACCCGGGACCTTTACCTTACAGTGAAGATCGCCGTGTAAACGCCTAAACCGTTGCGGCCACCGACGCCCATATTTTATTATTATACGTAAAAAAACTACTTGAAGATATATAATAACCTTGAGAAACTTAAATTTAAAAATAAAGGTACCGGGTTCGAATCCAGCGGCCCTGCTTTCAAATCCAACATAGAAATTGAATTATTTTCAAAAATACCGACACCCCGAGAGTTTAGTTAATCAGTTCAGCCGTCTAAGCAAGCTACTTTCTTCGCTCTACAAACCAGGTCTTTGTCTGTTTTTAGATATTCTGTGCCCATGTGTTTGTGTTTCATAAGTATTTTATGATCTTGTTGTCTATTTGTTTGTCTGCTAGTAAAGCGGGGCCAAAGATAGCAGCACAAACCGAGCCGGCCTTCAACGGATCAAAGCCCACCTGGAAGCTGAGGGACAAAGAGGGAGGAGGCCACCCAGGAAGATCGCCCCTCTCGTGTCTTAAGATGCGAACGTCCTTGCCTTTCCCGGCTCGCCAGATCCTGCCCGTTCTCAAACGAAACGCACTTCATTCACGTCCGGCCTGCATAAATCGTTCCTCTCCAATGGGCACTTTGACAAATTTTGCATTTGAGATTCTCGAAGCGATGAAGAAGTTGATGAATTTTGTAAGTAATATTTATGAAATTTTTGCATATAATGGAATTATGTTTAAGAAATTGAAAACAATTAAGCTCCTTCTTTCTTAAATATGATGCAAGTTTAGAAAACTAAACTCCTCAAAATTGAATAAGGATATTTGAAATTTATTCTTATTCTATTAACTTTAATTAAATTAACCGATATATTCTTGTTAATTGGATAAAACCAAATAGAAAATACAAACTAAAAAAAATGTTAATCCTCATTTTTAATAACGGATTTACTTAAGAATAGTAAACATGAATATTAATCATCAAACACCTTTTCTCGTCTTTTCTCCATTTTAATCGAGTTGTAAGCTCTTTAAACATGGAAGGACATCATCTTGAACCAGAAGTTCGATATTATTGTGAGAATGAGACATTGAGGTCACTGGCAAGTGGACGTCGCAGAGGCAGTTGGCATTAACCAGAGTGTGGTCACCCAGGCTTTATTTATTTATTTACGGATCGAAATCCACTATAAAAAAGACATTTTACAATAACAAAAAATATAAATAATATATGTAAAAATACAAATAATATATATAAAAAGAATAAGGACGTATATACATGGTAATAATATAAATGGTAAATATAAAAATACAATTAAAGAGTAAAAACTCTACTAAAAAAAAAGTAAGAACAACAAAAATGAAAGACATAATTACTAACCAAATAAGGCAGGGGAAACAAAATAAAGCTGAAAGACAATTGAAACTACAATAATTAGGTACATATTTAATGAAAATAATGCTCTTTGTAAATATATAATAAGACTAGAGTGCGAGAATTAGTTGAACCAGTAAATGAAATAAATTGTAATAATTTTGTACAGTATGAAATATAAAAGCATTCAACTAAGGTTGTAGGATAAGGTTTTTCACAGATCGCACAGAACTATTGAAGAAGTCAATGCTCTTGATCATCATTCTGTGTAGAGGAGAAGAGAGCATTAGTTAGAGCTTTGGAATTCAATATAAAATAATTTATAGGTTTTAAGAGAGTACGAAGGGACATGTAGCTGTAGTTGAGAGAGGAGATAAGGACTATCAATGAGATTGTTTAATAATTTAAATACAAAAACAATATCAATGTAATTCCTTCTTAGTGCCAGTTCGAAAAGTTTAAATTCAGAGCGGATTCCAGGGTAGGCAGAATTCGGAGGGAGATTGAGTTTGTAGGAAAGTTTTTTTAAAAATTTGTTTTGGACAGATTGAAGAATTTTTTGATAATTTAGATAGAATGGGTTCCAAACAGGTGTAGCATATTCTAGTATGGGTTGTAAAAAAACTTTATAAAGATGGGCAAAACATAGAGGATTTTTAAATTCATAGGTGTTCCGGATGATGAAACCTAGCATCTTCATAGATCTATTTTTTATTGAAGAAATATGTTCTTTAAATAGCCCGATTCTGAGAGACTGGAGGTGCCAATGCCTGGCAGTGGATTTAAGCGCATTACGATGTTAAGGGTAGACAGAAATATTGTGTTTGCTGCAAGGCAAAACCCTTTCAATATGAAGTTCAAGATGTTTTGGCAAGGTTTTTATCAACACAAATTATTAATAATCGTTTGTGGGAAGTGGGCATCACATCGTATGCCACTTGAGACGACCTGCTGCAACAGCCTGCCATCAGCAATTCAGGAGAATGGTGCAGCAAGCACCCTAGAAGAGAACTCCAATTGGAATGATGTTATGTTTACTGATTAGTCGAGTTTTTGTCTGTATTGTGATAGCAGGCACCGAAGAGTCTACCGAGAATAGGGGATGCCTACAATACCCTAGTTCTGCTCCTTTCGGTGCAGTTTGGAAGAGGCGGTGTAATGGTCTACTGGAGGACGAATTGGACTCCATATTGTTGAAGGCAACCTCACCACAGTCCATTACATCCAAAAAATTATCGAGGAATACATCCCTCAAAACAGGGATCTCAGGGGGCAGGGATTTTCGATTTCTGGATGACAATGCCAGAACCTCATAGAGGAAGAGTTGTTCATCAATGTGTAGAAAACCTGGGAATTTGCCCCTTCGCCCATTGTCTCCAGACCTCAATCCCACTGAGAACATGTGGGATGTTTTGCACAGAAGGCTTCTATCGGATCACCATCCGCAGCGAGTTGACCTGCAATAATTCAGTTGCAACATCTATGGAGTAAAATTCCTTATGAAATTAGTTACAACCTTATTATTAGTATGCCTACAGGTACACAGAGGTTTTAACTAATAGAGGACATTATACACAATAATTATTGTTTAAATTTTTTTTTGTCCAATTAATAAAATTATGAAATACCTTTTATTTTATTTTTCAAAATCCCTTAATTAAATTTTCTTTCAGTAAAAAACAATAATTTCTAATACATTTTAATGCAATTTATAATAAAAATAAAATTATAATGCTAGGAAAAGTAAATACTACAAAATTGACAATATCCGTATTCTTTTGAGCAGTTTATTTGGAGGTCCTAAATAGACTAAATCTATTAAAAGTGCTATTTTTACCTATATCAGAATCTCAGGTATATCATCATCTACTCAAACACCCCTGTTTCGATTAGTAATCAGTCATCAGACACCACATCCAGTTGGTACTATTTGGTTTTGATTTTAATTTATCATTCTGACCAGCCTATTCCTATTGCAAGATCAGGATAATCAAGGATAATCAACGTGGATTGACAGTCCAAAATGATATTAGATGACAGGTTTCTCACCCCACAGACCACAATGGGAAATCAAACAATAATCAAAGTTCAGAACTCAAACCAATTTTTTTAATATAATTTTAATTATTATTTTAAGAAAGTTACAAGTTGATGGTGAATGATAGCCTGTGAGTTGTTGAACTTATAGTGACACTGGGTAAGTTACTAGGTTATGTTATCAATAATGAATCATTTGTAATGGGAAATGGATTGTATAAAATTGGATAAAAAGAATGTATGTCTGTACCATACAATACAACTTTGATCAACAATTTCCTCTTGTAATAGGTCTTAGGTTCTGCACCAATCACTAAATAGGCTGCAGATATTTTGGAGTGGCTAAAAAAGTTACGATAAATAGTAAAAGCCATTTAGGTTGTCCTCAATGATAAATTATCACAAGAAGGGGATAGATGATGAAAATTATGAAGTATACTTATATAAAATTCATATTTACAACCTCGATTAATAGAACATCATAACTACAAAACAATTATTTTCAGTTATATTTAATTATTTTTTTATGGCTCCGGGCTTCATAACCTAATAAATGCTCTTATTATTTGTATCACCCTGGTTCAATTTACAAATTGTCTAGTTATGTAATGCTATTATGTTGAATATAGTTCCAAAACTATTTGAAATTATAAGTTGGAGTTAGCATATCTGTTTAAACGAAATATGTATTGTTTGCTCTAACCTTCTTCCTCTATATTTTACATGCTTTTTCAAATCGGATTAGAGTAATTAAGATTTTTTTGAATTTTAGAAAGCTTTGAGATGATTTTGTGGGTATAATATGATGATTTATCCTAGGCTTACATAAATCTACGAGTCCATTATTTCCATTTTTGTAGGAATGTAGATAACCTCCAAACTTTTTTACTCTAAGGATTTTCATAATTTCACTAATTTCGTGGTCCACTTGACCAATTAATATATTACAATTAATTAAGGTTTTTAGTTGAGATGGGAAGTTAGTGTCCGAGTGGATCGAAGTCACGATAGCTCAAGTGGTAGAGCAGCGGCGTATCAAGCCGAAGATCGTGGGTTCGAATCCCGCTCGTGCCATTGACTTTTTTTATCTCAACTAAAAACCTTAATTAATTGATTTTCATAATTTTAACTGTAAATGAAAGGTCAAGAAGATCAATCAATGAATACATCACTCCTTTTAAGAGCTTAAATATATCCATAAATTAAGAATGGTTTTTTTTTTATTTTTACATACCATGAAAGTAAGCTAAATGGTATGATGAATTAGTACAAAACAAAATTAAATCAGTATTATTTCTATTGTATGATTTAATAAAACATACTAAACATAATTAACGTAAACGTTCATTTTTATTAATTTTAGTACAAAACCGCTGGTTTCTGGGACGAGTTCTCCTTTACTCACAAAAGTTTGAATGTAGTGAACGGAAGCGATAAAATGTTAGAGTCCCTCATTTTATATCTTGAGGAATTGAAGGTAGTATTCAGTAAAATTGATCAAATTAAATTTACCTAAACTATTAAATGTAATTTTAACTTTCTCAGGCAATCCTTGACAAACTCTATGTTGAAAAAACAAGCAGGGCAATCGATCAAGAGGTTTTAAAATTAATGGACTCGAACGCTAGTGTGATGAACAATAGGCAATGCATGGACCGAAGTGCAACTGATTACAGCTTGGTGACATCGGAATCATATTTTAATGGTAATGTGTGCCAAAGTCAGAATCCGGCAAACACCGTGTTATATTACTACTTTCAGCCTACGTTACGAAAAGACTTAATGCAAGAACCAACATGTTACACCAATTATGAGCATATGTCTAAAAACCCACCAGAAACTAAATGCGAAACACGTCATGACAATTTGTTCTGCAAGAATCATCCGGGCCAGGACAATAGCGAGAAAAATCTTCTTGGTCATAATGAAAATTATCCTACAAACAATATATTTAGAGATCATAGCATAGGGAATATAACGAATAACCTCAATGAAAATAATCATGAAGGTGATCTTCCAAAAGTTCAATTTCAATCGACAAATTTGGATACTAATAAAATTTGTAGAATCAGCGAAAAACATGAAACGTCATCATCAGAAACCCTTAAGCATATAGAAACAGTATGTGAATTGAAATATAATGACACTTTTAAGAATGTAACCCATTATTCTTCAACTAGAAAACTGATGATACATGTGATTCGAAGGACTTGGAGCCAAAAGTTTGTTCTCAACTAAAACTGGACATGCATAATTTAGAAAATTCTGGTAAATATAATTTCATTGATAAATATTCTTTTTTATGAGGGTTTGGAACAGCAGAAGTCATATCAACTCTCGGAGTGTTGGTGGTTTTTGAAAAAAAAATTGTAAGTATGCCAAGTTCGAATGCAGAGCTGCAGGATTCGAACCTGGACCTTTACCTTCCTGGTGTAAGATACCTAAACTGTTGCAGCCACTGATGCCCAGATAAATATTACTAGTTCATAATTGAGTAATAATAATAATATCTCTTCTTCAAGGGGGAAAAATGTATTGTTGTGAGCAATGTGGAAAGCTGCTTTCTTCAAAAAGAAACTTGATATCACATTTGACCAGGATGCATGAATTTAACACAGAAAACGCACTTCACTGTCGTAAGTTCTAAGCTAATTTTTTATTATTTCCAGTGTTAATTGTTCAATGATACAAATATTGAAAAATTAAAATATAGGGGCAAAAAAAACTTTACAACGGATGATGATTTTATTAAAAGTTTATTTTTATTGTAGCTGATTGTGGAAGGGTTTTTACACGGAAATTCACTTTAGAAACACACATGGCTAGGCATAAAGGTATAAAGCCCTTTTCATGTCATATTTGTCATAAAAACTTTGCTCAGAAAATAACAAGGGATGTCCACTTAGTGACTCATACTGGTAGGTCAAGTCAGTTTTAATTTTATTGCTTTACTGACATTACTGTCTTGTTAGCAATAATGCATTTCTGACACTTTGTATTTATTTTATTTTTTTAAATTATTTATTTATTTTTAAGGAAATTATGAATTTTCATGTGATAAATGCTTAAGAAAATTCTCAACTAAGTACAAGCTAAAATTTCATTTAAAAAGTCACGTGGAAGAAATGTCTGTAAGTCAAAATCATTTTACAACACAGGTAAATATTTTATTCTGAATCCACAAAATTATAATTTATTTTTAGCCAAAATAAATAGTCAATTTTTATAACAGGAAAATTCAACGGCAAAATGTGCCTGGTGCAATTTGACATTTTCAAGCAATGATCAACTGTTAAACCACAACAAGATTGAACATATTGATGACAACCTATACGTTTGTGTTGAACAAGGTTGTAAAGCGAAAAACAAATCATTTTTGGAAAAACAATTATTGGAAAAACACAACAAGAGGTATCATTCATCTAAAATGTAAGTTTGTGTTTAAAGTGTCCTCATGAAATTATGTATATTAACAATACATATATGCATATTTTTATAATAATTTATTTCAAATGATTAAGGCTTTTAGTTGAGATAAAAAGTCAGTGTCACGAGTGGGATTCGAACCCACGATCTTCGGCTAGATACGCTGCTGCTCTACCTTGAATAAAACCTTAATTAATTGAAAGATATTAATTGGTCAAGCAGACCACGAAACTGATGAATTTAATAATAATATATGTTTAGACTGTATGTATCGAAATTTATATAAAAAATGAATGTGTATATGATTTTTTTTTCTCCTGGGACTATGGCTAGCACAGCACTTACAGTAATATACTAAGTGAAGCCAGCTCATGCTGGCATTCAATATGATGTGTTAAGGGGTTTGGAGTTAGTGAGGGTTTCATCATTTATGGCAAAATAGTTTTTGGGATGGAAAAGTGTAGAGGTTAGGATTAGTATGGTGATGAACTTTTAGAAGTGCAAATGGATCAGTTAGTTGACAAGGTGGAATGTAAAGGTCATTTTGTCAGTAATTTAGTAACAAGTTTTGACAATCTGTCTGAGAGATTTTGATTGGAAGGATAGGATGTGATGAATATATGCTCGCTTGCCACAATCCAACAGTCCCACACCATATCTCCAAAGTGGTCGCAGCGTCTTGTATAAGGTTAGTTTAGTTTTGACGGTCAAGTCAGATTTCCTAGAAGTCTTCATAGGTGACCAGGACTTTTGTTAAGTTGTTATCTTTTAAGTCTTGAGTGGGGATTCCACGACAGTTTTCTGTCTAGATATTGCCCTAAGCATTTGACTTGAATGAAAGTCGATATCTATCAACTCATTTTTTCAGAAACTTTTAAAATAAAACCATTCATTCCTATTGGATAGCAAATTTAAGTTCAATGAGATTGACTGCCAAGTACTGAGGTCGTTGTGTGTAGTGAGGTTAATGACGTAAGAAGCTTTTACCTGATTTGTCTGAGGAATTTTGATTGGAAGGATTGGATGCAATGGATGTTGGATGGTTTGGCAGAATGCCACAGTTCCATACCGTGTGTCCAAAGTGGTCACAATGTATTGTAAAAGGTTAGTTTATTTTTGGCAGTCAAGCCAGATTTCAGTCCTAGAAGTCTTTGTAGATGTCCAAGACTTTTGTTGAGTTGTTATCTCTTAAGTGTTGAGTGGGGATTCAACACCTGTCCGCTGTCTTAGTATAGTCCTAGGTATCTGACTTGATTGGAAATTGGTAGCTCGAAGATGATGTATAGTGAAAGATAAGACTGTTTTATAAATGTAAATGGACACTAGGCACATTTTTTCTCATTCTGTCTTGCTCTCCACTTTTTTACAACAGTTTTTTATAAACTCAAGTTGGTCTTTTACGGTGCAGGTTACCTGAACAGGATTCGGGTTAGAAGGCAATATTGTGGTATCATCCATACAGGTGGTAATGATTGCAGTATATGGTGATGATGGATACTAGGAAGTCAGGGTTTTTTATTCTCCAAGATCTGCAGCCTGTTGGCTTTGTATTTCTCTAGTCTTTAGTTTAATGCAATTGACTTGATCCTTCTCCTCAGGAGTGCTAAGTCAGTGATTGTCATTACTACAATTCCTTTTGCTGGGTTTTCTTTGTATACAAGGTTATATCTCCATTAAGTGGTTGCTTCACATTCTAAGATGATATAGGTGGCTTTTTCTTTCTCTTTTCTGCATAACCTACAAATGAAATCATCATCATTGAATATACCCGTAGATATGGCCTTGCAGATCCTCCTCTGGTCAGTGTATTTCATTACCCCAAATTCCTTTGTGTCCTGGCACCCAAGATATCATCAGATTGTTATATTTCCCTAGTTGTTGGATGTTTTGAATGCATTCATTGGCTAATTTTTTTACATACTAAATTAGTATGTAGTAAATTAGTATTACTAATGCTTCAACGCTGTTTGGTTATCCGATGTTATGGATTTTTTGTCAGTGTAACCTCTTTTAAGATTTTCTTTATTTCAACTTGAACCGAGATGTGCTTCCCTAATGAGTTTGCTCACATTTTGGATTGAAAAGCCTGATCCGATTCCTTCATTTGTTTTGGAGCCATCTGAACACCATTATACTGATTTTTTCCTGAATTCTTCTTCTCATTTGAAGTCTGTTGAGACTATAGGATGTTGTAAAAAGCGTTTCCAGGATTATGTAATAATAATTTTATTAATTATTGTTGTATGCCTGAAGTGTTTTGTTCCCACGCAATTTGATTATTTCTGGAGCCTAAATAAGTTTCCCTCGCTTCACTTTCTATAATATTTCAATGGAGGTCAGATGTGTCTTTCTGAATTGACAGGTTATTTTCATTGCTGCTGCATTGCAATATAACACAATTAACAATTAATTAAGGTTTTCAATTGAGATAAAAAGTCAATGGCACTAGCGGGGTTCGAACCCACGATCTTCGGCTTGATGCGCCGCTGCTCTACCACTTGAGCTATCGTGACCTCGAAAACCTTAATTGTAATATATTAATTGGTCAAGAGGACCACGAAACTAGTGAATTGAAACAATTAACAATAATAAACTTGGAATCTATCATTAATCAATATTCTGAAGATACATATTTCATTTGAACTAAATTTTCAGCTTCTTTACTTGTGAGTATTGCAATGCCAGTTACATGGACAAAAAGTCATTAAGGCATCACATCATTAGAAAGCATAGCAACATGCCAAAGCCCTATCACAAATGTTTGGTCTGCGGCAAGGGTTTCACCCTAATGTCAAAACTGAACCGACATTTCAAAATTCACACTGAGGTACTTAGTTTTATACAAAAAAGTTTTTAAAAAAATATATTAATTAATTTGATTTAGGAGCCGAAATTCCGTTGTGATGTATGTGGAAAGAAATTCCATAGGAGCGATGCGTTGAAGCAGCACATGTCGTCGCACGAGAAGACTGAAACGACATGTACCATCTGTGATAAAAAGTTTAAAAATATCGACTGCCTCTCGAAGCACATGGGCCTCCATATGAACCTCGAGAACACATGCTTGCATTGTGGAAAGACATTTTCTGACAAATTTGCCCTTGAATACCATCTAGCAAGACACGAGGGAAACTTTAAGTAAGCTATAATAAAATTTACTAAATTCACTAGTTTTCGAGGTCCGCTTGACCAATTAATATCTTTCAATTAATTAAGGTTTTTAGGTGAGATAAAAAAAGTCAGTGTCATGAACGGGATTCAAACCCACGACCTTCGGCTAGATAAGCCGCTACTCTACCACTTGAGCTATCGCGACCTTGTTCCTTGTGACTTTCCATGTCAACCCCACCTTTTTTTAATTTTCCCTCCTTTTTGCCATTTTTCAAATGTCGTGTAATCTATTTGATTCTCAGCAACAAGTGAAATGGCCACGGAGAGCTTTAGTGAAGTATACTTCATTTTAACATCTTAAATTCACTAAAAGGAAAAATGGCAAAAAAGGAGGGAAAATTCAAAAAGGTGGGGTTGAGAGGGGAAGTTAGTGCCCGAGTGGATCGAGGTCATGATAGCTCAAGTGGTAGAGTAGCGGCGTATCTAGCCAAAGGTCATGGGTTCGAATCCCGCTCGTGACACTGACTTTTTTATCTCAACTAAAAACCTTAATTAATTGAAAAATAAAATTTACATTGAAATTTAAAAAAAATACTAATATGGTAATTTTCAGGTTTATTTGCGAGACTTGTGGAAAAGGATTTGTGAGGAAATGTCACTATGATTCTCACATCGGTAGCCACTCCTTGATGGACACGTACGAATGCAGTATCTGTGAAAAAGGGTTTAAGGATCTTCGTTACTGCAAAAGACACATAAAGCGATTACATAAAGAAGGAGAACCAAGAGAAAAACTAAACAAACTTGATTTCAACCAAATAGTCAATAATTAGAAACACCACTTATTTCATTTCGTATCATTTTATCAAATTCTTGTGAAAAAAGGAAACAAATATGTAGATTGTTTGGAAGTAAAAATCTAAGCCATTTTACAGGAAAACTATGCGAGATTTTCATTCAGTTTTCTAGGTTTTATTATTTATAAAATAAATGAAGAATAAATGTAATGAATGTAACGATCATTCAAATGGTTTTACTCTTCCAGTTTACTAATCCACAATCTCAAGAGATGGCAAGACTTGGACTTTCAGATAAAAGAACTATTCAAACTCATATTTTTCATATTGTTTAGGGCAAACAACAATATTTGTACTGTCGTATTTTGAATATAATTTGAAAAACTGGGTTATAAACAATTATAATTATTTATATTGATTTGTTAATGGTTTTTATTGGAGGACGAGTGATGTAGTCCAAATCAGATGATACCTGCCAAGCTTTCGAGCTTTTTATTATTTGTTATTATTTTATTATTCCTGATCCTCAAATAATGTGATATTTCATTTGCTATCATGCTAAATGATATTTATATCAGAATTTGGTGACAATACCTTTAGAAGTACCAATAAAAAAAGCTTCTTTTCTGATTATTTAAAATATCTATAGCTTTCAAATGGCCATAATTCAAAAGAATATGTAGCTGTCACGATAGCTCAAGTGGTTAGAGCAACGGCGTATTGAGCCGAAGGTCGTGGGTTCGAATACCGCACATGACACTAACTTTTTCATTTCAACCAATACCTTACATAAAAAGATTAATTAATTGAGAGAAGTTATTTGGTCAATCAGACCAGGAAATATAATGGGTAGAATACATAGCATACAATTTATAATTAAAATGTGTTCTTTATGTCATATAAGACAATTTGTGTGTGTGTTTTGTATTTAATATTTTTATAAAATATTTCTTGCTTTTATTTATGGTAATGTTTTCAAAAGTAGTTTAAAACTAGCTTTTCCCCGCCAAAAATCAAGGAATAAAGTCAAATTTCATTAAAACTATTTTTTTTTACAAGAAGGCGTTGACATAGCGCTCGTCACTGTAAGGCCCTGGGTTCGAATCCAGCAGCCCTCCAATTAAATTTTTAAATATTTTTTTTTTAATACTGGCTGGTTCATATAACTTGTAGTTGAAATACCCTTGTTTAAAAAAAAATCCTCCATTATGATTACATTTTAATAATTTCAAACCTCAATGATTTAATATGTTATAGGTAGTAGGTAGCAAAATAAGTCAATCATTACAGCATAGAAATAAAAAATAAAATACAATTACCAAGTAACACAAAAAGTAAATTAACATTTAATGTAATTATAGACAATGTATACTAATGGCAAACTTAGCCTGCTGAATGAATTAACCAACAATAAATTAGTCGTTTATCCACATTATGACTGTGAAAGATCGGATCGCCAATATCTCTCAATCGGCTTGAGAAAACGAGCTAGACAAGGAATACAAGGGAAAGAAACTAGTGCTACAAAAAGGCACATGAAAGAGTTTAAAGTTTCTTAACTTCCAATTTGGAACATTTGAATATTTTGAACATTGGAAAAGGAGGAGAGGGTTTAGAGGTTAGAGGTTAGAGTATCCAGCCAAACATCGATTATGGCTAAATTTTAAACTGAAAACAATTGAGTTGACTCATTCCTTATAAATAAATTAGAAAGAAATTGCTGTAGATCTTACTTTTAATTCTAATTCTTGAATGATTTTGTCAAAATTGTGATTAAAATTCACTAAAATTGAACAAGATAATCTAATTCTGATAATTAATAAGTGAAATAATTTTTTTTTTTTTTTTTTGATGCAGCGTTCATAAAATCAAAACCTCAACAAGAATAATTATAAACTTATATATTATGTGTAAAAGTTGATAAAGGAATATCGGATACTCCACCACACTACTTTGTAGATATCTTGTTTTGTATAACATTTTGTGTAGATTGAGAGTGAATGTAATTATTAGAGTGAATGTGTTATTATGGTACAATGGTGGGATATCAAATACCTCATCGAACCTCAATTAGATTATTTACAACTTATGTAGTACACTGTTAGATGTCTCCTTCCATAGGATCTTCCTTTCTCACCGAGCGTCCCAGCAGTGTGGATTCAGCAGTTACGCTGAACTGCATTGTAATATGCACAGCAACATACAAAATTTCATATCCTTACTTGACACTGCAATAATAATAAGAATAAACTATGTCTATGTCATTCCTATGATCGTCAGGATCGTGTCTAAAAAAAATTTGATCAAAATTGAATTATATCCTCAGTTGAATATAATTAGTTCAATTCTTTTCTGATTGCCCTTGTAAACTTAAAACTAATTCAAATTACTTATTGAAATTAAAATAAAATGGAAAACAACGTAATTAATGATATTTTAACTTAAAAATTAGGGTATGGTCAAAAAAGAATAAGAAGGCAATAAATATAAACACACCAAGTTTCATGACATGTGTATATTTAACATAGTGCATATAATTCTATTAAATACAAAATATGGTGATTAAATTTGAGTAATGTAATTATAGAAAAACGTTTGAATATGGGCACATATAAGATGCAAGAAATACACACAAAGATGTGGGAGAAAGAAAGAAAGTGAGAGAGAGAGAGAGAGAGAGAGAGAGAGAGAGAGAGAGAGAGAGAGAGTGAGAGAGAGGAGAGAGGAGAGAGGGTGATAGAGAGTTATAGGGGAGAGAAGGAGTGAGAGAGAGACAGGAGAGAGGGAGAGAGAGAGAGAGAGAGAGAGAGTGAGAGAGTGAGAGAGAGTGATGGAGAGCCAGTGGGAGAGAGAGAGAGAGAGAGAGAGNGAGAGAGGAGAGAGGAGAGAGGGAGAGGAGAGAGGGTGATAGAGAGTTATAGGGGAGAGAAGGAGTGAGAGAGAGACAGGAGAGAGGGAGAGAGAGAGAGAGAGAGTGAGAGAGTGAGAGTGAGAGAGAGAGATGGAGAGCCAGTGGGAGAGAGAGAGAGAGAGGGACTGAGTGAGAGAGAAGAGATTGTAAGAGAAGAAAAAGTTACAAAAAGGGCAAAATACAAATATAGAGGAAATAAAAATGTAAAATGGTATGAGAAACTAAGAACAAATAAAATAAATACAATTGCTGAAAACAAGTGAAAACCTGTAAAAATATTATTTTAGTGCAACCCACCACGCAGTGCGTGCAAATTTAATAAGTGGTCGGCAATAAGAGTCGAGCAGAGAAAAGAGCTGATGAGCTGGAATTCAGTTAGTGTGAAAGTACCCGGGTACCGTACCGGTACTCGGCAAAAACAGGACTAATTTCGAAATAAAACGAATACCTCCTCTCTCGTATCCTGCAATGCTGGTCCATTACTGTTATTTTCTTGATGCCGTATTTTTATAAAGCAGGACTGTTAAAAAAAAAAACTTCCAAGTGTGTGATAAAGATGCTATTAGCTAGCTGACGTGCTAGAGAGTCGCCAAGTTGAGTGGGCAATTTTTCTCTGGAAAACGCTCAGGAATTCCGACGATTTATAGAAACGGCAAAGACTCTCGTCGTTTCACCAGCGTTCAGTTTCCATTTATAACATATCTGGGCATTTTAGCTACTTCGATCCCCGGGTGTTTCATTATGCTAAGCTCCGTAAATTTAAAAGTCCTCTTTTGAAAATAATCCGTGTTTGGTAATAATCCAGGCTAGTGTGATGTATGTTGTTATATAAATTGAAGAAAAAACAGACCTTATAATTTTATACATTATTTTCTTTCTACAAATAATAATAATAATATAATTTGTTCATCACGAGTTCACGATAAAAATATATTTTGTTTGTTTTATACAAACCGATACACAGATTACGTAAACTGTCCCGTACTTACTTTTATAAAATTTCAATAGCGGAAATAATATTAATTCGTTTCATCGAAGTTACGCTGTTTCAGTCTGGGACCGCTTGTTCTCGCTGGTCTCTTCTTGCCATCCATCCGACAGTTCATCTATTGATAAAATTGTTTTAATCCTCCAAAAGTTCTTTTTTTAAATTGTTAAGCTGACTAAATATTGGAACTTACACCTAAAGGCAGCGATTTTCATAAATTTCTTCAGATGAGTAATGTGAGCACTTGGATCCTGGTCGACCTGGCATTTGTCTTAATGTTTGGTAAAACATAATATTTAGTGGACGAATGCATGTTCCTCTCTTTCTCTCATCAAATTAAATTGGCAATTATAACCAAATTTGTACGACAAATTTGGTGTTTTTCGATAATTTTGGTTGGCCTGCCAGACGCTTTTCAGACAATTTGGTCTGACTCGCATCGCCTGTTTTGGTCTGCCAAGCGCTTTTTAGACCAAATTGAGTTTTTCTAATGTTAACTATTTCAATCCTACAAAAGTTATTAAACTTTTTTAAATAATTTTTTTATTGTTAGGCTTAATTTTGTTTTTAAGTTTTAGACAGCACTCACTTCCTTATCTTTACGTTTCTTTTCTTAACTTTCTCGTATATTAATACTTCTAATTTCTTTTTCTGTTTTTCCAGCTGAGTTTCGATATTTTATGGTACAACGGTAACCAACTCTCTCTTTTCTTTGTCTTATTGTTAGTCTCTCTGTACATCAGGGCGTCGTCAATTGTGGATAAAATAAGACAAATAACAAACACAGAAGCATGATAATATGGTTAGCTGATTATTTGGAAATCGTGAGATGCGGTCTGACGAGACGTAGGTTTCAGAAAAACATAAAACAAAACACATATGCAACGTTTCGATCTTTATTGAGATCATCTTCAGGGCTCAAAGTGTTTGTTTTCTGCGTAATTGTGCCATTCTTACGTGTCGTGTTGAAAGTGGTTAGCATTCACACTCCCAGAGTACTCAATATTCCTCGTGGTAATTGGGGATAAATCCTTCCATTCACGCTAATAAATTACAATTAAACGCCAGACTACAATCATTCTACGCCAGAATACTCGATATTCATCGGGGTAATTGGACATAAGCTTCCTTTCACGCTAATAAATTACATACGTTAAACTTGTAGGAACGTACTATTGGACTATTGTTGAAGTGTAGGCTAAGGCAGAATTTTTCGTCAATATCTTCAAATGATTAATTTTAACACATTGAACCTAGTCGACCTGTTATATTTTTCAGTGTTTAGTAAAAAATAGTATTTAGTGGACGTCTGCATATTTCTCTCATCAAATTAAATTCCCAGATCTAACAAAACTCGTACGATAAAATTTAGTTTGGCGTTCTTCGATCATTTTGGTCCGACTGGCTTCGCTGTTTTGGCGTGTCAAGCGGTTTTTAGATTAAATTGTATTCACTAGTTTCGTGGTCCGCTTGACCAATTAATATCTTACAATTAATTAAGGTTTTCAGTTGAGATAATAAATGGCACGAGAGGGGATTCGAACCCACGATCTTCGGCTTGATACGCCGCTGCTCTACCACTTGAGCTATCGTGACCTCGATCCACTGGGACATCAAGTTCCCATCTCAACCGCACCTTTTGAATTTTCCCTCCTTTTCGCCATTTTTCAATGGTGCTCTACGCTTCAATGCTGCCCACTCTAGCTTAAGTGGTAGAGTAGCGGCGTATCAAGCCGAAGGTCGTGGGTTCGAATCCCGCTCGTGACACTGACTTTTTTATCTCAACTAAAAACCTTAATTAATTGTAAGATATTAAATTGTATGTTCATCACAACGCCAAGAGTGCCGCAAACGTTACATTTACAAGCTGGTAAAACGTAGACATTCATTCGATCTGAACAAAGCGAGAAAAGGCGGACCAGGATTTTCACACTGCTGTTGCACTTTTGTCCTTTAACCATCCCTTTAGAAAATTACATTTCTATGATCATTATCTAGACATCTAAAAACAATAGGCAAAATTTAATTGCATTTTTCTGTTCAATTTTTCAAGCAACAAAACCATCATATAGTGTTCGAGAATTATTTTTAGTTTCATTTCTTTTATTTTAATTATAATATAGTTTTTTAACAACGTTGTCTTTTAACTTTTACATTATTTTAAAGAGTGGATCGAGGTCACGATAGCTCAAGTGGTAGAGCAACGGCGTATCAAGCCGAAGATCGTGGGTTCGAATCCCGCTCGTGACCCTGACTTTTTATCTCAACTAAAAACCTTAATTAATTGTAATATTGATATTAAGATTCAATTAATTAAGGTTTTAACTTGAGATAAAAAAGGCAGTGTCACGAGCTTCGAAGTCACGATAGCTCAAGTGGTAGAGCAGCGGCGTATCAAGCCGAAGGTCGTGGGTTCGAATCCCGCTCGTGACACTGACTTTTTATCTCAACTAAAAACCTTAATTAATTGTAATATTGACATTAAGATTCAATTAATTAAGGTTTTAAGTTGAGATAAAAAAGGCAGTGTCACGAACTTCGAAGTCACGATAGCTCAAGTGGTAGAGCAGCGGCGTATCAAGCCGAAGGTCGTGGGTTCGAATCCCGCTCGTGCCATTGACTTTTTTATCTCAACTAAAAACCTTAATTAATTGTAAATTATTTTATAGTTTGAATGATTTTATTAATGTTATTACATCATTTTTAAGGGGGCGTCGGTGGCCACAACGGTTTAGGAGTTGACACGGCGCTCATCACTGTAAGGTGAAGTCCCGGGTTCGAATCCAGCGGCCTTTCATTCGAACCCGACCTGCTGTTGCGAACCCTCGTATTAAAAAAAAAACAATATTAACAAGCACATAAAAAAATCAACTATACTGTATGAAAATAATTTTAATATAGAACAAATTTTATTATATTCATTTTGTGATTATTGCTGACTGTATGTATTTGACATAACGTCCTACCTTGATCCTACCCAAATAACTATACTTTTTATGCTAGAAATCTGAATATTCAATTATGGAAAATATATTCAGATGAGGGAATAAATAAATATAGTCAAATATGTATTTATCTGATCATACAAAGACGAAATACCTCGGTGTACTTTGTTGATCTTACTTTTTTGGTTTTTGGGCTATAAGGGGACGCCGCGCCGGCTACTCGCGGTAGCGGCATGACCAATCAATATCGCACCTGTCCGATTCATTCATGAGTCGTCAACTATGATCATTCGGGGAAAAGGGCATCCTGACGGTACGGGTGAGCGAGGTGGGGCATGCGCGCACTCCCGACGGGAAAGCTCCTCCAGAGCCCAGTCTCTCCGCGCCTTGCAGCTCGAAAGGTCGCATTCGTACCAGATTGGACTGCTCTCATACTTCCGACAGATTAGAGTTCCCCCCAGACTCATCTTTGTGGGTAAGCTGACATTTCCTAACCGGCCGGGTGTTTGTACTAGTTTTGAAAACAATCCACTTGCTCATAAATATATGCGGAGACGTAAAAACTCCTTAAATTTGTTCGATTCATGCTAAACTTTTATTATTCCTGTCTTCTGAAGTCTCAATATCATCTATTAAAAAGAATATACTAACGTGAATATAAAATCTTTCAGGATTAATATACAAAAATAACAAAAACTATCAACTTAAGCAAAGACTTTTTCCCTAAAACAAACAATTCAAATTAAAAACTGTCAAGAATAATTAAATAACTAAAAAGATACATAAAATTAGAAAACATCAAAGACGATTAAAGGTTGGATATTTTATTTACATATATACCAATTGTAAAATCTGTCAGCTCCTTGTTGTTAGGCCTAGTGGCAATAAACCAAAAATTAACAATAAACAAAACAATTGACATGTAAACAAACAATAATTTCAAGAAGCTGTGTAGCCACGTGGGTACAGACGACTTAACAACACGTGACTTTTAAGCATTCTCAATTTATCGACTTTACTCCCAAGAATCCAGTGAGGACTACGATACTTTCCTCCTTCCGTAGTTTATGTATAGTAAAATATAAAAGTATAGTAAAATTTAAAAAAAAACACGATCCTTCTTGTTATTGTATACATAATTTTTATATATTCCATAATCGAATTAATGATTTGTCCGGTTCACCAAAAATTCGTAATTTAACAAATTAGCGGCAGAGCGTACAATTGGACATTTCCTGCAAACCTCCTGGCATTAATTGTTAGTTTACGGTTCTTTTAATTGCATATATAATTTTTTAAGACAGTAATAAAGTTGCTGAAGAAAAAGATCGTGTTGGTCGAACTCAGATTAAATTTAATAGTTATTTTTCGATAATTTCTGCCCGTCCTCTTTGTTTTGGTCTGTACTTTATGACTACGACACTGCCGTCTATTAAGGCAGACCCGCGATGATCCGAAACGGCCAAACTACAGGTTCGTTACACCGCAGACCCTTGGAGGAAATCTTACGTCGTAATGATCGCCAATGATCACTTTATCCGGTCCGTTTATTCTCGCTGCTTTACGTTAAGACTGCGACAAAGCGGAAAACCGCGTTGCGACGTAAAGCCATCGGAATAGATCGGTTCAAAATTAAACATGTAACTTTATACACAAAAATTAGCGCGGTTATTTGAATATTCAATAAAACCTGTCTATAGTAATTTCCAGTCACGTGCGGCAATGTTTTTCCTTTGTAATTTGAAAACTTCTATTAATATTTAATTAAACAGGGTGTGAAAAATGCATTTTTTAAAAATGATTATCACAAAAACCAATTTTATTAACAAAACAACGTTTTTAAATGTAACCATATAATTCGTGTCGAAACCATGAAATATTGATAATTGATAATTGAAATATTGATAAATATAAATCCTTACATTTACGTACAAATGATAGTAAATAAAAATATAGGTTGAGTAATCATTGGAGTTTCTACAGATTTATACATCTTTTCTGTGTTTATATTATGCATCATTAAATTTTCAATAAGCAAAAAAAAAATTTAACAGCACGTCTATGTGAGATTCGAAAAAGACTCAAATGTAGGGAAAATATGTTTGCAGACGATAGCAAGACTAGATCTAGATTGAGGGGAAATCAGTAAATATTTGATTTTTTAAATTTTATTGTTTTTTATGTCTGTAAAACAATCACTATTACAATTTTACAAGCTGTGAAAAAACACGTTAGAAGAACTCACTCAGTGGTGAGCTTTCGGTAGAAGAAATAAGCTATGATTTCACTTTTTCAATTTTCTTTGTCACTAGGACGTCAGTCGACGGGGAAGATTATCTGGGTTGGTAGTGGAACTGAGCTGACGGACCAAGCCATTTGGATTGGGATTGGTGAAACTTTTCGTCAAGTTTGGCTACTTCTGGAACAAAGGGAATATTAACGTATCGGTTTGACAGATAAAAAAGAGAGTTAACAATTTTTCTTAGGTGTTGTGATTGGAATCGTTGGTTGCGTTGGGTGTTGGTTCCACAGAGTTCTACAGCAAAGGTTTGTCAACCATCGGTCATTAAGTGAAAGTTTGGATCGTCTGTCGAGTAGTGGTGATAACAGTTTAGTTCGTCCCATTTTAACGTCGAGATACTGCAAACAGTTTTGAAGGTTTCTGTATACTGTGAATGGGGGGAAAGTGGAGATAATTGTTTCCGGAAGGATAGTAATGTCGCTGGTATACATCTTGAAAAGAGAGGTCCAAGAATGCACCTTGTGGGACGCCAACTTGGTTAGGATATAGGGGTATTATTGTGCCTAGTCTAATTCTGGCGTAACGGTCAGACAGGTACGATTTTACGATTAGATTGTACCTTCAGGAGCAGTACTTCAGGATTGTACCTTCAGCATCCAAAGGAGGCCCGGGTTCTAAACTTTCGCAAGGGCTTGAGCAATGTCAAGGAACAGACAAACATGCGATTGCATTGATGCACTTAATAGTGCACATACCTAAATCCTGAAATACTAAATCCAAATGATAAAGTCTTTCTTTAAAATAGTTCTTTTTCTTTCTTTCTTCTTCTTTTCAAAAATTCTAATTCTCCGTGGAGTCTGCGAAGTGACGAACCTGTTATTTGGTCATTTTGACCTGATAAACCGCCAGAATGTGCAATCCAAAATGATCGGCAATAGCCAAATATCAAAGAAAAATAATACTAATATTAAAAGCGTATATTCCAGTATATAATTAACAAAATGCAAACCTAATTGAAAACCAACAAATGTCCAATACATTTGATCCAAAAACCATGAAAACACATGACATGCTTTCTGTCCGTCCACTTCAATGACAATTGCCTGCAAGAAAATAACGATTTAAACAGTATTTATGCTTAAAATGTAAGCAGCTAAACCATTTCATAAATATCGTCTCTTTTATATCTGTAAATATTTTCATAGTCGAAACTATTAAAATACGAACAAAACGAGTTTGTTCGTTCATCTGAATGAAAAGAAATGATTTTAAATGCTGCTTCGTAAGGTGTTTCAACGTGACAAGCCTCCCACGATGGAAGGGCCACCCTGCACAAAAAACAAGGAAAAATAGGCCGAGGAGTCGCAGCCCAGAATTGTTCTCTAACACTTTCGGATTAACATCTAACCAGGAGAAATGGAAGTTCTGTACTAGGATCGGTCAAATAAACAGGTATAAAATAGAAACAGGAATAGAATAAATAACCCTCCAAAATTGATCGAACTTTTTAAAATTATTAAGAATGAAATATTGGATCGGACAGCAGAATTTTTCTGAACCAGGTACAATGATTGAAAGATATTTGAAAGAATGTAGTCTTTATTGATTGATTTTATCATTCTCTTGAACACTATATTCTAAATAAGATGATTATTCGGAGATATTCAGATGCGGTCTGGTAGGTTTTAGAAAAACATTTTCTTTATCGTGATAACGTTTCGATCTTTATTGAGATCATCTTCAGGGCTCAAAGTGTTTGTTTTCTGCGTAGATGTGTCATTCTTGTCTGTCGTGTTGGGAGGGCCCACGACACAATTACGCAGAAAACAAACTCTGAGCCCTGAAGATGATCTCAATAAAGATGGAAACGTTGGCACGATAAAATGTTTTTCTAAAACCGACGTCACACCAGACCGCATCTCACTATTTCCGAATAATCATCGATTAACGGTCATTAATCACCACACAATTTCAATTATACCAAAAAGTGAAGGTTAGGTTATTTTTTGTCCAATATTAATTTTGTTTAATTCGCCAAAATTGATCAAACTTTTTTAAAATTATTAAATATTAAATTTTGGAACGGACAGCAGGATTTTTTTATAAAAATCTCCAGATAAATCATGTTAAATTTTCAGCCCCGGCCTTTTCCTCGATGTTTGGCCAAACATTTTATTCAATGGTGTCTACCTTTCTCGCTTTCACTCTCTATCTCTCCCTCCCTCCCTCTCCACCATCTCACCTTCCCTCCCTCTCACTCTCACTCCCCCTCCCTCCCTCCCTCTTGCACCATCTCACTTTCCCTCCCTCTCACTCTCTCTCAACCCTCCCTCCCTCTCCACCATCTCACTTTCCCTCCCTCTCACACTCTCTCTCCCCCTCCCTCCCTCTCCACCATCTCATTTTCTCTCCCTCACACACACTCTCTCTCTTTCTCTCTCTCTCTCTCTCTCTCTCGTTCTCTCTCTCTCTCTCTCTCGTTCTTACCTGATCATTTTTGTCTGCCTGCCCTCTATGTTTTGGCCTCTCCAGACGGTTTCTAGACCAAACTGCGAGTTTGCGAGTTCGTCACAACGCCTGGAATGGGACAAACGTTAGATTTACAAATTGGTAAATCGTACAAATCCAAAACGAGAAAAATTATTGAAATTATCAAAAAAATTATGATTATTCAGAAATCGTGAGATGCGGTCTGGTGTGATGTAGGTTTCAGAAAAACCTTTTCTTTATCGTGCCAACGTTTCGATCTTTATAGAGATCATCTTCAGGGCCCAAAGTGTTTGTCTTCTGTGTAATTGTGCCATTCTTGCGTGTCGTATTGAGTTATATATAATCCATTATATTTCGTGGTCCGATTGACCAAATAACTTCTTTCAATTAATTAATCGTTTTATGTAAGATTTTGGTTGAAATGAAAAAGTTAGTGTCACGAGCGGGATTTGAATCCACTACCATCGGCCATAATATTTATAATATTTAAATATTTTATTCCTAATTAAAATTATTAAAAATTATAACGCTGCTGTTGAATATTTGTCCATTACAAAAACTTAATATCTGTTATCACATAAAATTAAATTTATTAACAAGGCTATTTTTATATTTTAATTAGATGTGGGTGAGGCAATATTTAAAATAGGCGATTATCCCGTCCCTCTTAAACACTGACTCCCAGCTAATCATTTTTTAAGTTATTTAAATATACTCAATTATTGTATTTAAAAAGAAATATT